TTTTGCAATGCTATTTTTATACGTTGTGAATTCTGCTACATCCACAGGGAAACTAGATCACAGTAGGCAGCAACAAAATATACTAGGCGATCAATCTTGCTCTTGAAGATCAAAGTATTTCTTTGTTAGGTCAACTGATCAACTAAGGAACTAAAAATAACTAAAATATAATAGAGCAAAACCAGCCGAGGAATGTAGCAATGTAGCATCATTAGTATAGAGTTTGCATTCACATACACAAGCAATTAACCTGCTTTTTGAAATGTATTTGTTCTGTTTCCCTCCTACTTTTTCCATTATAGGTTTGTTACTGGTGAGATTTACAAGGGGAAAAGCCCACATCATCTTTTGTGGTGAGCTGGAAGAGTCAATGAATATACCCATTTAATTAGAAAGCCAGTAGCCACCACAGATACAAGGGAAATTTCACTTCATTTGTTTTGAGAAAATTCTGAGAAATGAAGTGAGCACCACCTACTAGTGATGAAAACAATTAGGTGAAAATAGATCAAATTCTGAACATTTATATTATTTCCGTAGATTTTGTACGATTCCCTTCCTCTTTAAACACAACCCCATTAACTTGGGAATCATTTCTTAGAAAGTGATTGAGAGTCTTGATTTCAGCTGTGATCTGTACAGATTCCTTCAACAAAGTAAAAACTGAGGTTGACCTCTGGGCATGATATGCCTCCCAGAATTTTCAACAGGTAAATTAACAAATAATGAGAGCAACCTAATACCTTGTTTATAAAAACTAAGTGCTTGTGTGAAAGAGCCCACAGGTGGACCTGAGTTGGACTTCTGTGTGTGATAGAAGACATGGTATCATGAGTCTTATGAAGTCTGATCCCAGTATTGCAAAACAATCACTGGTGTCATCAGATTACTCTTAAAAGTATTAATAAAAATAGAAAAGTTGAAAAAGTATATTCATAAATTATACAAAATTGTTGGGCTTTGAATGAATTTGAATATGATTTGAAGTCCACATATGATTCTTCAATATGAATGAACTGAGCATCATTGCAAATTTTATAAAAATAAAATCTATGAGAAAAATGCCCAAGTTAAATCATGAGCTATACTTCCATCATACGACTGTGAACCTTCTTTGTGTACTGTAAAGGAATAATAGCTACACTTTAACATAATATTCTTCCCATATTCAAAATGAGGAATAAAGAAATCACATTTAGAAATAAGGATGGAGCATGTAAAGATTAATTTTTGAAACTAAACTTTAAGTTTTATTTTTACTGTAATACTAGAAATACTCTAAGCAATTAACAAAAAAGTGTGATCACTTTTTTTTCTTTTTTTTTTTTGAGATAGAGTCTCGCTCTGTCGCCCAGGCTGGATTGCAGTAGCATGATCTCGGCTCACTGCAACCTCCACCTCCCAGGTTCAAGTGGTTCTCCTGCCTCAGCCTCCCAAGTAGCTGGGATTACAGGCATATGCTACCAAGCCCAGCTAATTTTTTTTTTTTTTTTTTTTTTTTTTTTTGTATTTTTAGTAAAGACGGGGTTTCTCCATGTTAGCCAGGATGGTCTCAATCTCCTGACCTCGTGATCTGCCCGCCTCGACCTCCCAAAGTGCTGGGATTACAGGCTTGAGCCACTGCGCCCGGTTTACCATACAGCAATACAAGTCTCTCCTTTGTAACACTGGGTAAAGAACACAGAAGGCAAGAACATTTCAACTCTTCCTCACGCTCATTGAATCTAAAATAGAAGAGATAGTATAAAATTCTAGATGTATTCTCTCTGAATTAATTTTTATAACCCAACTGAATAAGACCTCTAAGATATGTAAATCCTAAACACTTCAGAAATAACAAATCATTTTATCATGGAAGATTATTGGCTTAAAGAAATGAATATAGAGATTTTACATCTTTATAGTGCTCACGGTTAAAGAAGCTACTAAAGATATCTTACTAACTGCACTCTAATCTCAGGTCAAAGCTGCCAAAAATGCCTGTGCTTTCATATATTTCCACAGCGAAAAAATCCCTAAAAAATGATGTCTTTTCCAAGAAGTAAATTTACTATATTTTTAATGGGCCAATCCAAAAGAAGCTTCTTCTCCAAAAGAAGCATCGTCTTAAGCGTGAGTGTGAGTGTGTTTATGAGTGTGTGTACGTATTAGGCAGATTAGGAGTGAAAGGGGAATGGGAATGACATTGCAAGGTAGGCATTGTTAGTCCCATTAAACTAATGTGGAAAATGAGACTCAAAAGAGGTAACACATCAGAGCTGGGTGACAAGTGGAAAACTCACCTGTTTGTCAAAATACTTAACCGGGATTGATGAGGAGGCAGAAGGATCAAGGGGAGAACACGAGGCAGAGCCTCTTTTGTGGTTTTCACGGGAAGAAAGGGGCAAGTTTGTATAATCAGGGGAGCAGGTGTAGGATTGGATCGTTTGAATAGATTCTGCAGGCCCTGGGCTACCCGTGTGATTGGTCCCTCGTTGTCCAGTACCTGGTTCTGAGGTGATCGAGGGCAAGGGAGAGGTTGACTCTATGTATGAGAGTTTAATGAAAGAGAGGGTTAGGGGTTTGGACTATGTTTGGTTTGCATATCAGAAACATGCTCCCAAACTAGCTGTTTGCTACCACTAGGAATGAGCTAACCCTGACTTGAGCAGTTTCTCCCCAAGACTGCAAGACCCTGAGATGTCAATGCACCCCAAAATGCAGAAAATAAAAAACATTACTAATACAATAGAATAACTTATCCATTTTTCTATAATTCATTGGCATTATGTAGAAATAGTGTACTTAATCACACACAACAACATTTATTTGTAATTAAATTCCTACAAGTTAAAAGTCCTATTTATAGCACTGCAATTTATATCTGTATATTCAGTATGCTTTGGTGCACAAGTCCATATATTAGTATTTCATAAAAGAGACAGTATAAGGTAATGGTTAGAAATGAAGATGTTAAAGTCAAAGAGAACTGAATTCAAATCCCAACCACCCCTACTGCAAGTTACTTTGAGAACTGAATTCAAATCCCAACCGCCCCTCCTGCAACTTTAAAAGTCCTTAACCTAATAGTACCTGGTTAAATAAAGATCAATGAATATTCACAATTCTTACTCTTACCAGGTTTTTAACAGGAGAGATTTAATTTTCCAAAATTGATTCTCCTCCTATTTTCATCTTGTCTAAAAAATTTAAAGGAAATATTTGGGCCAAAACTAGTCAGAAAATTGCTTCAATTGGAACAATTTTGCCTACCAGAGTAGAATTATGGTCATTATATTGAACAACTATGACTTACACAAAGTCAGAGACAAACGAGGCTCCCATGCAGCCACTCCTGGAGTGACTGGAGTATGAAAGGATATTTGCACTTGCCGCATGGGTGCACCAAGTGTGATTAATGACATGTATTACATCAGTCCCACAAAAAAGTTCACTTTTTATAGTCACACTTTTAGATTTATATGAGAGTTTTCTATCTGATGTTTTTTAGAATCTTTTTTCATCATCTTCTGAAAGATGGTTTAATTCATACTCATTTAGCCCATACTCTTTGTCTTCTATAGAGAGCTTTTTTGAAAGAGGGGAAAAAGAATTAAAGAAGTGGAAAAACTATGGCTGGTCGCAGTGGCTCATGCCTGTAATCCCAGCACTTTGGAAGGCCAAGGCAGGTGGATCACCTGAGGTCAGGAGTTCGAGACCAGCTTGGCCAACATGGCAAAACCCGTCACTACTAAAATTACAAAAACTAGCCGGGCGTGGTGGTGCATGCCTGTAATCCCAACTACCCAGGAGGCTGAGGCAGGAGAATCCCTTAAACCCAGGGGCAGAGGTTGCAGTGAGCCGAGATGGTACCACTTCACTCCAACCTGGGTGAAACAGCAAGACTCTGTTTCCAAAAAAAAAAAAAAAGGAAAAAATAACAAATAGAGAAAGTTCTTTGCTATATGCAGCCTTCAGCAGTTAGGTTATTTCTCAAATTTACATAAAGACTTATTATCATCTTGACTGCAATCATGTAGAAAATGAATGGGTATAAAGTACATGAGGACAATTTAATAAACCAGTTTTCTTTTCTTATAAAATCTCTGACGAAAGGAATCATTAGACAGAGACTTGCCTTGTATTTACCCAGGTCATGAGGCATGGCAGCTTGGTGATGTGCTCTTGGCAAGAAGTCCTTAATTAGAAATTCCTCGAGAGCCGCTCCCTGTAGGTGCTTCCTATGACAAAAAGACGAAATAATTTACTAGGGAAGCCCTCACGAAGGACTCAACATCCAGACACAGGTGAGGGAAAGGAAATTTGCTGACAGCCGAAGAGCAACAAGCATCATGATGGGATGCTGGGTTTTGAATGAGGGTCTCTCCATCATATTAGTAGTAAGTATCAATTTTGTTATTCAACTTTACATATATAGATTGAATAGTCTTTGGTTTTTAGGAAAACTTGTATAGGAACACTAAATAGCTTGAAGTATTACTCTGGTTAAAAGACTAAAACTTGTTAGAAAACATTCAGTAGATATATTTAATTTACCCTTATAGAATCATGCAAAGTTGTTTTCCGATTGAGCTCATTTTTAATTATTTTTAAAGTCAAGTAGTTTGTTTTTGCATAATGTATGAGTGTTTCTCTAAATCAAATGAAGTCTCTGAATTAGACTATGAAATTGGAATTTTTTCTAGAGAACTCTCAGAGTTGTTTTTAAAGATTTCCTCCTTCTTGACATCATTGTCAAGCAACATTGATTAAGAAGCTTTTGTGGTTTCATTAAATCACTTAAAGCTGACTCATATGTATTTAAAATCTTTTTTATAAAGGTAATAATTTCTTACCATTATAATCCTATTAAAAACTAATCTATGAGAAATAAATATGTGGAGTGATTCTGATTAATATTGAGAAGCTCTTCATTCCACGTTAAAAGAACCCCAAGTGATTTTGAATAGAGAAAAAGCTTGAAGGTAGTATTGATTGGTTCTCTTTCCTTTCTACTCTAGCTCTCATGGCTGGGAGTAAATTTGTATCTGTTTATTGACACGTTCTACTGGTATGAAGAGGAGGAGTCTTTCCATTACACACGAGTTATTTTGGGTGTAAGTATGGTTTATGATTAAACATTACTTTTTCAGAAAACAAAATGCATTTTATTTGCCCTGGATCCTTGTTTTCCCTGAATCTCTTTTTTATGTCTTTACATGTGGACAGTCAACACTGGCTTGGGCGCGAGCATCCGCACTGTGCCTGAATTTTAACTGCATGCTAATTCTAATACCTATCAATCGAAACCTTATTTCATTCATAAGAGGAACAAGTATTGTAAGTACTAAAATATTTGAAATAATCTCAGTTGTTATGACTTCCTCATATAAGTGCCATTGAAAACAAAAATGTACTTTATTATGAAATTCTCAGTAATTCTGTTTAAACTTGGGTTTCTTTGTTAGAGATAACAGAAAGGCTAAAACTGAAAAACGGTAATCAGTACATCCATCTGATTTGGCTTTGGCTGTTGCCATTGATTTCCTACATGACACTCAACTCATTGCTCAACAGTTTCCTGATGAATTTGCACCATGAAGATGGAAGCATTATAATGGCTGGAACCATCATTGTTTCTGATTGAAAGATGACAAATAAGCTTTTAAGACAAATGCCACCAGGAAACATCTCTCAGGGTTCTCACCCACAAAAGCATAATCACAGTACATAGATTTTATTAAGTAGATTTTAACCTCTACCAAACATAATGGGATATTTCCCAATTATATTGATTTCACTGTGTTAGGAACTTACCTGTGCTTCCTGTCAAACAAAATAGCATACAGAAAATGAGTCCTTCAAAAACTTTTACCAGGGAAAATACTGTATTATGCAGGCATCCCTCATTTCCTTGCACTTCCCTTTATTGCACTTCTCAGATACTATGGTTTCTACAAATTGAAGACCTCTGGCAACCCTGTGTGGAGCAATTATACTAGCGCCATTTTTTCCAATACCATGTGCTCACTTTGTGTCTCTGTGTCAGCACTTTTTAGCAATAAAGTATTTTTTTATTAAAGTCTGTACTTTTTTTTAGACATAATGCTATTGCACACTTAATAGACTACAGTATGGTATAAATGTAACTTTTATATACACTAGAAAATCAAAATTTTTGTGTGACTTGCTTTATTGCGATGGTCTGAAATTAAACCCACAATATCTCCGAGGTATGCCTGTGTAATCATCATTATAATTTTATGAATATTTATATATAGATGCATATTTGCCTTTGTATATGTGGGAATAATTTGTAGCCTACCTAAAACACATGAATGAGGATGATGGCTATCACCTTAAATTTTTAAACAAAGAAGCTGAGCGAGGCATGTATTTTGGTAGGCTTATTCAAGAGTTTTGAATTATAACCAGAGAACTAATAAGTCAATCATTTTTTAGCTGAGAGTTCAGCAAAGCAACTAATAACCTTTTGATTTGCCTGTTTGACTAATGGCCATTAACTTTTGTGTCACATTTAGAGGCAAAGCCTGATTCCTACTCTCTTAACTGTCATGACACTGTTTTCATTGTAATTTTTCCATAAATCAGGCATTTTTTGTTGTTGTTGTTACTCTAGTGCTGCAGAGGACCGTGGAGGAGGCAATTAGACAAAAACCTCAAATTTCACAAACTGGTCGCCTATGGGATAGCTGTTAATGCAAGTAAGTACTTACTAATTGCTTGATGGATTTTACAATATCTGATGCCTAACTTCATAGTTTTGTTTTAACTCTGACTTCCTCAAGTCTCACCCTCAGGTAAAAGAAATCTTAGCCATATATCTGACCCTGTAAACCTTATACAAATGGGTTTTTACATTTTCAATTTATACTTACGTAAGAGTTTTCCCCTACCAAGACCTCAATTTGTCAAAGAAAAGTTGGTGAAACTTCATTTGCGAATAGTTAAGCTTGTTTATAATACAATAATAAATACTTGAAAAAGGAACACTTTGTTATTCAGCACAATTCACTTTGGAAATAAAATTGACCTCTGTTCAAAATCTCATTCGCAGTCGTAGAAAAATGACTGTCAAATAGTATCGTGAGCAGTAAAAAAGAAAAAAGAAAAGAAAGATCATGTGAGCAAAGTTCTGAATCGTATTGAGGTAATGGACACAAAAGGGTCTTGAAAAGACATGAAGCTTTATCGGCATATAAAGTCTTATTGTTATTATTATATTTCTAATTTAAGAGGAAGGCACTAGAAATTAGCATCCAAGGCCAAGGTTAAACTCTGATGAGGAAGAAAGGAGGAGGAGCAGTCATCAACCAGCTTGTGGTTTTGCTGGAAAACAAAGACACTGAAATAAAAGGCTATCTGAGCGATAAAGAGTTATGATTCAGAACTGTTTCTCTCAAACTAATTTAACTATAAAATGTTTTCCTCATTTGTTTTTATCCTCTCATGCATTAAAAAAAAAAAAAAAAAAAAAAACAAACAAAAAACAGAGTAAAAGGAACACTCAAAACAAATGTGAATTTAATTAAGCAACAAGACATGACAGACGGTGCCCAAGTGCCAATTAACACAACTTTGGGTGTGCAGTGAGACATGAGGGGAAGATGCTCCCATTGATTGTCTTCGGCACTGGATTAAACCAACCCAAGAACTGCTTTGTAAAAGGTCTGTGTGGTTTGTGAGGAAATAAGAGTAAAAAGACATCGTGTCCTAGAGAAAAACCAGCTCAGGGATAAAGAGGAAAAAATAAGGCTGGTTCATCTTTGTATTCCAAGGCCCACAATAGTGCTGAGTATGCATAGGCACCAATAACCTTTCATGAATGAGCGAATACATGAAGGAATAAAGACTCAGGGAAACAGATTTTGGCTTAGGAATGGAAGTCTTTTCCGGACCTTAAAAATTATCTAAAATTAGAATGAGGTTCCCCTAAGAGTACTGAATTCCCCATCATGGATGATGTCCAAACAGAGACCAGATTGCTCCTTGATAGGCTCATCAGAGAAGGAATTCAAGGAATCTCTAGGCTTCCTTTAAAATCTTAAATAGCTTGATTTCTGCATAACAGTAAAATGGCAAAAATATTATCATAGTACACAATAGCTTTAAGACAGAATTGAACTCTAAGAGAAAATTTTAAAGATATTACAGAGAGAAGCAGGGAAAAAAGCAGCCAGCATCAAAATACATCAGAAAAGAGGCTGGGCATGGTGGTTCACGCCTGTAATCCCAGCACTTCGGGAGGCTGAGGCAGGTGAATTGCTTGAGTTCAGAAGTTTGAGACCAGCCTGGGCAACATGGTGAAAGCCCGTCTCTAGCAAAAATACAAAAAATTAGATGGGCATGGTGGTGCATGCCTGTGGTACCAGCTACTTGGGAGGTTTTGGTGGGAGGATGACTTGAGTCCAGGAGGTGAACGTTGCAAGGAGCTAAAATTGTGCCACTGCACTCCAGCCTGGACAACACAGTGAGACCTCCATCTCAAAAAAAAAAAAAAAAAAAAAAAAACAGCAAAGAAAGCAAAGAATAAGAAAAATGTGTGTTATGAAATAGTTTTCTCCTTAAACTTTTGGGCATGTACATTTCTTTATATGTAATTGTGTATCCATAATACCAATGCATTAGAAACATACAATGAATATTCCCCATGTTAAAGATACCCTGATAGCAGCTATATCTTTCTGAAACTAGTGTGGTCACGGCTGTTTTAGGATGGAGTATAATTTAGTATAAGCAGCAGTTGACTGAAATCAGGTGACCAAATTATGTTATACGTCTCTACTGATTGGTAGTGTGATATCAGATAAGTTCCTCCTGCTCTCTCTTTTGTGGAGTTAAAAGAATACTAATACAAGCCGGGCGTGGTGGCTCACGCCTGTAATCCCAGCACTTTGGGAGGTTGGGGAGGGTGGATCACCCGAGGTCAGGAGTTCGAGACCAGCTTGACCACGGTGAAACACCGTCTGTACTAAAGATGCAAAAATTAGCAGGCATGGTGCTGCACACCTGTAATCCCAGCTACTCGGGAGGTTAATGCAGGAGAATCGCTGGAACCCAGGAGATGGAGGTTGCAGTGAGCCGAGATTGCATCATTGTACTCCAGCCTAGGCAACAAGAGCAAAACTGTCTCAAAAAAAAATAAATACATACATACATTTCAATGAGATGTGATTATTGTCGAGACCAGAGTTCGTTGGAAATTTGGAGAATACAGGGCTATTCATTTGTTGCTATTGCAAATAAGATCAAATCCAAAGCCCTTAGCCTGGCCAAGGGGACCAATGACCTCACGTGTGCCCCCTGCCTGTGCCCCCTGCCACAGTCTTATCTCCTACCACACCCCCTGGCTTTTCCCCTTGGGCACACCCAGCTCCTGCGAGTTCCTAAGCATTCTGTGCCTTTGCTCCAGGGATCCCCTTTGCCTGAAATGCTCTGCCCTCCTCGTGGTGCTAAATGGGTGAGACACGGCCATGCCCAGGACTCATATCCTGGCCCACCTCCTCCGATGCAGCCATTTCAACCAGGGGTCTGAGGTCACACTTTCTACCACGGAGTGAAATTTGTTCCCCAGAAGCTGATCACCTCCAGGGCTGAGCCTGTGCCTTATACATCTTGGCTGCCCTGGTCCCTGGCACACAAGAGGTCCTCAAAAATGTGGTGAAAACAGGGTGAGTAGGAGTCGGCCAGCAGGCAAGAGAGGTTGAAGGAAATGCTGGGAATGGTACAGCACACAGACGCATGAGTTGTTCAGGGATTATGAGCAGTCTGGGGAGGACTGAACAGAGTGTGTGGAGGGAAAAGATTTAAACGATGCCAGTTGTCCAAGATAATACATTCACATTCTGCTGCAACCGGAGAAAGCAGGGTGCTCTTTCTCCCTCTTTCCCTCACACATCCCTGGAGAGAATCAAGTGTTCTCTCCGGCCCCCTTCCTCCTGAACCCCACTGCTTTGCCAGGTACCCAGATATCACCTGGGGTTCCCCTAGCAGGGTCAGAACTGCCACCCAGAACAGAGTGCCCCTCATCCTACTCCTCCATAGCAACCAGCAGCACTGCGGTGTTTCCACTCCCTGCAAACGGAGGGAGGAGGCTGGGGAGAAAGCTCTCCGTTTCTCCCAAACCCTGACAAAGCAATTATTACATTTCACATGAACGGAGAAATGCGTCTGGCAACTGCGCTTTTAGGAGGAAAAAAAATGCTAAGCCTTGGTTTCATGGAAACACCTCTGCTTTTCACATTTGTGTTCTTCTGGTAGATTCACTTGGGAGCAGCCGAAAATGTCCCTGCGCTTGTTTTATTAGCATCGCCCATTATGCTGCATTTCAAATAGCCGGCTGGCTTAACAGAGGTGTGTAACCTTGGAAAAAGTGCGACCACATCGAAGTTTGCGTGCCAACCTCTAATTTCTTATCCGTTCCCCTATAAGCTGAGCTGCAGGCTTTAATTGGTCAAATCATTAAAGGATGTAATTAGAGACTGGTGGAAGAAGGCGAGGGAGGAGGAGGGAAGAGGCAAAACAATGGTATCTGTAATCAAGGACATCACGGAAAATGCAGTGACAGGAACTCTTCTTTTGGCTTCCTGCCTTCCTGCTTGCCTGCCTATGATAAGAGCTGCCGGAGCATTCTCGAACCACTAATAAATCATTTTCGGGGACCTATAACCTCACGGGTATAAAAATCATAGTTTCACAGGCTCTTCGTTCTTATTAATGCAGATCTTTCTGGAGTCCCTGGTCCACAGCAGACCTTGAAGACCCTTCCAATTGAAAAGTAGTACTTTGAGCTCGAGCTTCCATTAAGGGGTGTCTAAATAGTGACCTAGGCGGCTCTCCCTGGCAGAGTCGGCAGCTTGCTTCTGCCAGGTTCCAGGAGTGAACAATTAGCCAAGTGCAGCTCCTGATGAGTTGCTAAAATTAGTCTACAAACATCAGTAAACATAACAAGGGCAGGGTGAGCGGAGAGAGCACAGAATAAGGGTGCCCAGAAAATAAAGATTTGGAGACCCCGGCTTGAGAACAGCCCTAAAGCCGCAAACTCTTCAGTCCTGACCCCTCAAGGATTGCTCCTAATCAGTTCCGCCTGAGGCTCTGGGAGCTTCAGGGAAGCTCCATTCCCAGTCCTGCCTGACAGGATGTAATGTGATTTACAAATGCGTGGCACACACAGGGTGCCAGAGTCAACGAATCCTCCTACAGAAATCAGACCACAGGTTTAAAAGTTTGCAGCCAAATTCTGGCTGCAGAAGCACAGCCAGAATCTGTCCCTGGGTCCTTGTTTCTAAAGGCTGTTTAATTAGGAGGTGACTAACTCCAAAATGACTGTTATCACTGACAGGCAGGCAGAAAGACAGCAAGGTCGGACCACGCTTCCAAGATTCCCCTCAATTATGCTCACTTTGATCTCCTGAAAAATAAAATGAAAGAAGGAAGGTAAAAGAACTTTTTCAGGGCAACTGGCTCTAATAGTAGCCTTTATGATTTTTTTTGTTGTTGTTGTTCACTCTTTAATGTAAAACTCCTTATTGGAACTCAGAAATTCACACACCAATTAAATGCGCATGTGTAGTGTTTCCAAAATTGCTGCTCTCTTAAAAGTACCCGGGGAGAACACAAAATTGTAGAAAGATCCAGTTATAGCACCTTTTAGCCTGGCACAATTGGGTTATGGAAATGTGTGTCTTGCGGTCCTCCAAGGACACAGCAGTGCATACTGTAGAAAGTCCACAGAGGACCAGGGAGAGCTCACCCCATAGCTAATGGCATTGGATTTACTGCAAGACTGAAGAGCGCCATTTAAGCCAGAGTTGGCTTTGGAAACATGAAAACATGAACTTCGTGTTTGCATTACTTCCATATTGGTATACAGATCCCTTTTAGATGATAAATATGTTCCCAGTAAACTTCAGAGAAAGACACAGGAGCCACACAGCTGGAAGGGAGCTTAGATAACCTTGTTTAGTACAATCTACCCATTTCACAGATGGGAAAAAAGGGCCTGAAAGAAGTTAAGTGACTGAGAAGTATCCTCTTCAGTATTCTTTCTGTTACATACTAATATCAAATGTAATAACATGAAATGATATTGATGCCTAAGACAGAGCAAAATCAAACCATGTCACTGTTTTATCCCATCTCTGTAGCCCTTGTCTCTGTAACATAAACAGCATGGCTACTTATATTTTTAAGAACCTAAAATGTAGAAGGGAAGGAATAGAAAATATAACATCTAAAAAAGAACAAAAATAGTATCTCCCCTGGTGTCTATCAAGTCACAACAATTCTGAATTTAGCGGTTGGTGTATCTTTAGTTCCAAGCCAAGATTGCTGTAAAATTAGGATCAGATCTAAGGGGAAAATAAAATGTTTAGACAAACAAAATCAGCATAAGCAGTTTTCTCTCTGAGAATTCCTGAGATAAATAAAATATTCCACTTTGTATGTTCTACCTTGTGAAAGGAGAACAAAATGGAGGTAGCGGGAGCAAGGGAACATGTGAGACATGAACTTTAAAGTGCGTGACAAATACTGGAGAGAATAGTTTTTACACATTCCCTCAGAACCTGCCTCTTGAAAACCATCTGGGGCTTCCTCGTACTCCTTCATTAGTTTCTTCAGCTCTGTTATGGGAGACCTGGCAATAAGAATAAATAAGTAGTTCAATATCTTTGTTCATTCAATCAACATACTTAAATTTCATTTAACAATGTCAAATTCTCGTGTGGAAATCAATCTAACAGAAAACAAATTGCAATCAACAACTCATTACAGGGGAGAAGAATGTTATAAAATATAAGGCCAGGCGTGGTGGCTCACACCTGTAATCCCAGCACTTTGGGAGGCCAAGGAGGGTAGATTGCCTGAACTTAGGAGTTTGAGACCAGCCTGGGCAGCATGATGAAACCCCATCTCTACTAAAAATTAGCTGGGCATGGTGGTGCGTGCCTGTAATCCCAGCTAGTCGGAGGCTGAGGCAGGAGAATTGCTTGAACCCGGGCGGCAGAGTTTGCAGTTAGTTGAGATCATGCCATTGCACTCCAGCCTGGGTGAGAGAGTGAGACTCTGTCTCAACAACAACAACAAAAAAGTTATGAAATATTAAAAACTTATCTTGCCTTCTATTTCTGACTATCACATATGGATTATGCAATGGTAAACATATCATTTAACTTGGTCTGAAGCTCAGTCTCTAGCTCTGTAAATTGTGAACAGCTTCACACCCTGTCTGGAGTGCCCTAGTCTGTGGAGAGAGAATTAAAGAAAGCTAGGAGGAGAGGAGGAGTAAGGGTCAAGGGGCAGAATATAAAAGAAGCATTCACGCCAACCTACAATAAGGACTCCAAATGTTGTTATCAGTCAGAAGCCTTAGAAACGGTTGGACTCTAGATTAAAGACACCAGGTAAACCATTCAGTTTTATCTAAGCCCGTAGAAAAAAGCTAGTTTTCAATTAAAAATCGGGTATGATAATTGCTCATTAGTCAAATGAAGCAATACAGCTTAATGGTCAAAAGATGGAGCACTGAGTCACGCAAACCACTAAACCACTTTCATCACTAATGAGCAACACATTCCTTAACTCTTTGGATACTGGTCTGTGAAATAAGAAGAAGGCTGATACCTGAGGAGAGTTAAATCAGATAATATGCCTATAGCATTTATAACAGTGTCTGTTGTACAGTAAACATTCAATGTGTTTGCTAGGAAACGTACTACCTGCTTTTAAAAGACTTTCAGATAATTATCAGAAAACAGCATTTAGGAATACTGGACAATGTTTGTGTTCAATTTAGCAAATAGTTTCCGTTTTGCATGTAACACATTGGAAGGGACTCCTGCTAGATAAGCCTTTCCAGCTTTGTGGATGCTGAGGCTAAACAAGGCTGCCCCTTCATCGACATGGCCGTGTATGTTGACAAAGCACCCTAGGAGAAAATAGAGTACCTCGTGGGTGCTAACTTCTCTGAAGCCACAAGGAGGCAGTAAACATCATGATGCATAAACAGTGTCACATGCTTTGCCTTCTTGGGTGAGCCTCAACCTGAGGTATATTTGACTTGATTTTCAACTTAAAGGCTAAAGAAAAAATGTACAATATACACTTATATATATATTATTGTTATATTTTATATATATATATACACACAGAGAAAGCACTACTCCAACCAGGTTGCGTCTATAGATTGATTTTCTGACCCTTTCTTTACCCCTTCTACCTTTCTGTAATTTCATTGTCACTAAGCAAATAATTGTCAAATGCGAACTGGTACTGAGGTTTCAAGGATGAATAAAGTCCATCCTTGAGGAGTGAAAGTTCATCAGGGGGTGCAGGGATAAACAGATACTACAACAGTAATATCTGAGAAATGCTATGGTCATACTATCATTTGTGCTGGTGAAATTGAAGAATGTGTGATAGAAGTCAACTTTTGAAGTGAGCTGTAAGGCATGAGCAGAACATTTTGCAAATCAGAAAAGGGAGTGATAGCAGGAACTCAGGTGACAAAGAAAAGAGGTTGCATAGAAGATAGCATTTCTAAATAAATCTGCTCCTAGGACCACAGGGACCAAAATGACACCCATATTCTCAGAAGTTCCTGCTCTTTCTTTTTCCCCATCACATTTTCTTCCATACCTCAACCCACAAGGTACAGCCATGGAGGATCCCGTAACTCATTCACAACTTGTATAGACTGTATGATAGTCACAGGCCGTGCTACTCCTCACTGTGGGTGCAGAAGAAAAGAAGATATCAACTGGGAAATTATCTATACCTTGGGCAGTGAAGCCTCATTTCACACATGAATCTGATCCCAATGGCAGTTATCAACTGGCCACCCAGCGGGAGTTTCATTTGCAGGAAAAGCATCAGTATGTCGTTGCCTAGCTGTGACTGCTGGCTTCCCAACAGATTTGGAAAGAGCAGCATCAGACACAGAATCCTCAGGTCAGACGATGCTGTGTTCTTAAGCTTGTTCTCTTCATTTAGAATTTAGACACCACCAAGTCCCAGAATTAGAAAGCTCCATTTACTTCTTAAGAATATACAGAAGGTATGTTTAGTTCCATAAATACTGGCTTATTTCAATCCACCAGGAATAACACATGCAAATGTATGTGTGAATGTGTATGTGCAGGGGTATATATACATATAGAGTAGTCCCTCCTTGTCTGCAGGGGATACATTCCAAGATCCACAGCGGATGCCTGAAACAGTGGATAGTACTGACCCCGACTGCCATTCATCGGAACATGTTCCTTTTCATGTCTTCCACCCACTAATGTAATGCCTTTTTCATCATAAATAAGCACTTATCATGCACTGTGGCTGTAACTTCTGCAGTCTGAGGTGTGACAGCGAAACTAGCACAAGTGTCTTTTTTCTTCACAATTTCAGATAGAAGATTTGTTCTTACCATAGATCTTAGCAACTTCCACATACAGTTTTTTTCCTTTCCTTATTAAGTAGAGAACTTTCACCTTTTCACTTAAAGGAAGCACTTGATGGCTTCTGTTTGGCATAGCCGAATTGCCAGCATCACTACTTTTGCGCTTTGGGGCCATTTTTAAGCAAAATAAGGATGACTCACACACAAACACTGGGATACTGTGACAGTCGGTCTGATAACCAAGAGGGCTACTGGATATGCTGAACAAAGGGATGATTCACATCCCAGGTAGGACAGAGCGGGATGGCATGAGATTTCATCATGCTACTCAGAATGGCATGCAATGTAAAACACAAATTGCTTACTCCTGGAATTTTCCATTCAATATTTTCTGATTGTGGTTGACCTCGGGTAACTTAAGCTGGGCAAAGTGAAACTTTAGACTGGGGGGACTACTGTATACTAAAATATGTAAAGGAATAAACAGAAAACAAAAGGGAACAAAAACAATATATCTCCTGGTATCTATCATTTGTGTCATATACATACATATCAGCATGTATAATGTACAGTATTCTAGAATAATGTTTTCCGATTTCTTAAGAAGTTATATATAATTATTTCTTTTAGAATTATATTGTATATAATTATGCTGAGCTATCATAACATTTATTCCATTTCCATGATAACTGTACACTTTATGATGAACTGAGATTTACTTTATTAATATAATTTATATAAACGTGGAGATTTTTGTACAATATCTTTGGAAGTATTCAATCCGCTCCACTTAAAGCACTGTGAAAGATGTGTAAATAAATCACTTTTCCTTGGAGATTACAAAAACCAGAACAGAGAAACTGGAGCACAGAGACACGGTATTTTTTAGTAACTAGGGAGGAAGCCACAGGGCACATGTTTGGTGTCGTCTCGTCCTAGCCATCCATGTCGTGGCGCATTTCTTCAACCTGGAACGCTACCGCTGGAGCCAGTCCAAGGAGGCCCAGGGACTTCTCGCTGCACTTTCCAAGTTGGGTAACACCCCTAATGAGAGCTACCTCAACCCTATCCGGACCTTCCCCATGGTGAGTTCCTGCCTGCTAACGAGCTTCTCCTCTGAAAACTCCGTCGTTTTCCAATCCTCTAATCAGTAATGCTATATTGAAAAGCTTTGAATAAAAGGGCTGCAGAGTGAAAATTTACATGGAATTTGTTCTTAATTTCACATTTTCTAAAAAGTTATTTTTTTAATCATTAATGTTGCTGGGAAGTTATGAGCAAGGAGAAAAAGATATGTCACCTAATTAATTTTTATATATACACACACACACAAGAAATGCAGTAACCTGTTAAATTCCTAATATTTTAAAATTTAACATTTTAGAAGCAGTCCATGATTCGATATTTTTTCACTGATGTTAGACTCATAAAGAATGTGAAGTGCCATCTAAACCCAGAAATTATAAATTGGATGTCTTCATTTTCAATCTGCAGATTGTTTTCCGGATCTCTTCTCCAAATGCCTCATACATTGGCACATATGTGAATAACTGCTTTGCCAAATCAGATACTGGGCAAAGCAGCTAATTTCATAATGAGACCTGCATGGCCAGTGACATCATTCATGCTAATTACCTGTGTGCACAGAGTGTCAGCAGCTATGGGGAACAAAAAGAAAACCAAAAATGTAGGCACAGCAATCTGTGTTCCAAGATTAAGACAGTCATCTCCCTTAATTCACCCCACCTCTTTCTTTGTGGTTGGTCTCAATTTTTTTCCCTTGTACCACCACATTGGCATATGTGTGCAGCAGGTTGACCAGACTAAAAAGATCTCTATTGCCCAAGAAAAGCCCTAAGGCAATACACTTTGGCAATGAAAATCCCTCCATTCTTATCCAGGCCATCTCTTTAAGTGACCATTTCCCCTATGCAGCCTTATTTAAAGAACAAAAATTCAAAATCTGGTTTTGGAACACTTGTTCCATGTCATGTCCCCTAATTAGCCTAAGGTGATTTTCAGTATCAGGCCATTGATCAGGTTTAGTTGAGCTACATTTTCTTTTATTTTTTTTCTTAATTTATTTTATTTTATTTTATTTTATTTTATTTTATTTTATTTTATTTTATTTTATTTTATTTTTTTGAGACAGAATCTCACTCTGTCACCCAGGCTGGAGTGCAGTGGCACAATCTCAGCTCACTGCAAGCTCCGCCTCCCAGGTTCACGCCATTCTCCTGCCTCAGCCTCCCGAGTAGCTGAGACTACAGGCGCCCGCTGCCACGCCCAACTAATTTTTGTGTTTTTAGTAGAGGTTTCACCGTGTTAGCCAGGATGGTCTCAATCTCCTGACCTCATGATCGCCCACCTTAGCCTCCCAAAGTGCTGGAATTACAGGCGTGAGCCACCATGCCCCGCCTGAGCTACCTTTTCTTAGCTGACAGCTACTGGAAGCAAAAATTTCACACCTGCAAATCAGAACTACAGCTGCCCTAAGCGACTGGGAATGCCTTTATGTCAGTCCATTGAATCACAGCATTTGTCTGGGCACCTACTGAGGTTACTGTTTTTCCCCACTAAGATGCTGGAAAATCCATTGCTACACACACTCAGGAAAAAATCTCAACATTTTGCATAGTCTATGTAATAAATAGTATTTATTAAAAATACTTTTCTAGCAATATGATCATATATTTTAATAGCAAAATAATTAAACTACTACCTATACAGTAATTTCAAAATTTTAGAAGCAATATACTGTGGAAGTACTAATTAAGCTCAGGAAGCCCTCTAATTTAGGGCATTTGGAGGGAGATGAGTACCAATAACATAGAGTGTACATTATAGAATATTTTTAGAGACGCAGTGGGATTGTTTTGGAGGATACATTGCAACTCTAACCAGTCTATAAATGTGTTGCGAGAACAGAGATATGGTGATTTGCCTTAATAGGCAAGGAAGAATGATGTGAAATTAGCACATCATATGATATAAATGGATTTCTAAAATGCCTGAATGTACTTGAAAAGAAAATATTTTAAATGTTTGAGATATATCCCCTTCAATTTTATTTCCACTCTTTGCGCTATGAAGAAAAAATAAACAATGAAGAAGTCCCTGTCCAAATTACCTCCAGATCTCAAAGCAGCCCAAATTAATGAGATTTTACTGACAAAAGATATGGTGAGTTTATTGAGCTCGTGGCCGTCTCAGCTATAGTAACACAATGTATGAATACTAATGACTTGGCAAGAATATGGGAAACTCACAATAAAAACAAACTGCTGTGTGATGCCTATTCCAAAAGGTTATTTAACTGTCCCTTGCACTCACAGGTCAGAATTCTGGTCGTTTCGCGGTGTCCACCAGATAAGAATCGCTGTACCTTTATTGATCACCTAGGATTTACCAAGCCTTATTCCAGGCCCCCCGAGATGGCGTGAAAGAAATGCAAGTCATAGTCTTTCCAATTAAGAAGCAAGAGCAAGGAATAACTACCAGGGGAACTGAGTGTGCAGCTGCTTTATTAGGAACGCCCCAAGGGACCTCTCAAAAAAAAAGTGTTTATTAATGTTAAAATGCAATTAAGCATGGTGATCCACATAGTTATTTTAAAGACTAAAAACTTAAAACTCAGATTTATTTTGCAATATTTTATTTTGAAATGCTCTTTTCATGCTGCCCTCATTTCAATTCAACATAATCACTTTGGTTTTTGATTTATTTATTTTTTTTTCTTTTTTCCCATTTTGTCATTGTTGTTGTTGCTTTAAAGACAGGGCCTCACTCTGTCTCCCAGGCTGGAGTGCAGAGGCAGCATCATGGCTCACTGCAGCCTCGAACTCCTGGGATCAAGTGATCGTCCCATCTCAGCCTACTGAGTAGCTGGGACTATAGGCTCAAGCCACCATGCCCAGCTTTTTGGGGGGGATGGCGGGGAGGGGTTTCCAGTATAATAACTTTGATGTGAAATGATTTATACAAATTTTAAAAATGTGATTGATGAAATGGTATTTAATGAAATTTTAGCAAAGCAAGTAGCCACCGTAAGCTGGTGGGAAAGGGGAGGAAGAGGAAGCTCCTTCTCGAGTTGGCCTGCATCCTCATTGAGGCTAACATGCTTCTGCGTGAAACACTGTGAATGGCTCCCTGCTTGAAATCTCAAGTACTGGTCCTAAAAGTGGAAAAAAAAAAAAAAACATGTGCCAGGATATTTATTGTCACGGTGTTCATTTTTTTTTTTTTTTAGAACACAACTACTGAATTGCTAAGGACAATAGCGGGCGTCACCGGCCTGGTAATCTCTCTGGCTTTAGTCTTGATCATGACCTCGTCAACCGAGTTCATCAGACAGGCCTCCTATGAGTTGTTCTGGTGCACACACCATGTTTTCATCGTCTTCTTTCTCAGCCTGGCCATCCATGGGATGGGGTAAGTCCACACTGTGCTCCTCTGCAAGGATTTTATCTCTGAGAGTCCCAAAATAATCTTAGAAAGTCCTTTAGATGAAGGATCCCGGCATGCAGTGACTAAAGGACTTGTACAATGTGTGAAAAGCACATTGACTGTGGCAAACGCTTTTTCAGTAACACTGAAAATAAGCTAATAGATGGTGAAGTATTATATTCATTTTTCCTCACTGACTCTGTTAGTGAGTCTTGGCATGTTTATAAAATTCAGGAATTCTAATGAATGCAGGATGACAGTAGATCTATGTTTCATTCAGCACCTGTTCTGCAATCCAATTTATGTGGGATTACTCAGGATATATATTTTTGACACCAAGATTTCACTTCTGCTTAACCAAAACCATCAACTAGGAAACCTGGTGTTTGGGCAGGGACAATGTGTGGCATGGGCAGTCTGGTGTGGGGTCCAGATCCAGCTCTGAGACCAGTTATCAGAGTGAGCCCTTCAGGTCCTCTGGGCCTCAGTTTCCCCATTTGACCTCTAGGACTCCATTTTGCTCAGACATCCCATAAAACACTGCTCTGGCATTCAATACCCAACTGATACGGTTCATCTCTTCATCAGGAAGCTAGCATAGCCCCTGATGTGTTCAAAATCCCTCGAATATAATGTTTTTCAATCCTTTAAATATTAATAAATGGCCCTGGACTAATGAATCAATTGCTGTCTGTGAACTAGCTTGTCCCTTTTAATTATTTCAAAAACTGATTGCCATTTTTTCCATGTTACAATTTTCAAAGCACATTCATATGCATGATCAACTCGACTGCCACAACAGTCCTGTCACGTAGAGAAGGTGCTGTTGTCCCTATTTCATAAAAAGGAAAAAGATGTTCTCAGGGTTAAGTGATGCCCTCAAGGTCCCATGATGAATAAACGACAGAGTCAGATCTAGGACACCAGTCTTTAGACCATCAAACGTTTACTCTGATTTAGCAAGCCCTGGCAGAACAAGTCTTCCGTTTTATGAATTAAACCTTCCTCAACACCAGCAAGAACGCAGCCAGCAATGTTGCTAATGCCCTTTTTGGCTTGCCAGCAGCAACTCCTCTGTTCCTGCACAGCACAATACCCTCTTCCGCCCCTCATTCTCCCACCATTGCCACTGCTGAGTGCGGAGGGTCCTGTCCCGGAGGTGGCCTCCCTCTCTGCACGGACCTGGAAGAGCAAGTGCATAGCTGCAGAGTGGCATGGCCTAGGAAGTCACACATGCCTTGGTGACTCTGGGTCCCATGTAGAGCCCACGGGCAATGCTTTGGGATTTGCCCCTCTGCAAGTCAATGACCCCTCCAGTCTCCCTCCTCACCCTTAATGCTCCTGTCTTCTCAGCCCCCTACTTCTGGAAGGGGGTCGCAGTTCTGCCGCCGCCACTGCCTGTACCTAAGACTTCTCCCATTGTCCCTCAGCTGGTGGACAGAAACACATTCTTCGAGGAAGAAGTGCCCCTGAGGGTGCATTTTACCCTAAAAGACTGCCTGTGCCTCTGCTGAGCCCTAGCAACCGGGTCAGTCCACGTTCACACGTCCTCTACTGCCTGGCTAGAGGCTTCCCGTTTTCTTTCACCTAGAACTCTCTGGGATTGGCTCTTCTGAATGTGGAAATCTCACCATTCCTTTTTGTACTTGGGGTGGACAAGGTGGATGGTGTGTAGTCCTAGTGTGTTCCAACTCAGAGATTGTCAGTCCCCCTCTTCCTACTGCTGATTCCGCTCATGACGCCAGGGTTGTGACCCCTGCAGTGTATTTATGAGGCTACCTATAACCCAGGGGAGTCTAGAAGCCCTCTTCACAGACACCGTGTGCTTACCCCACTAAACATACATCCCCCACATCCACACCCTGGTGTACTGTAGAAGCACAAGAGAATTTCAATGGGCAGTGTTTCGTTGGAGATATTTTGGATATCCAAATAACAGCTCATAAGATGAAATTTTTTAGTCATTTTAACCTAGTTGAAAAGCTTATTTTAGGATAAGGGCCTCATTTAATCTTCTCAGTGTGAAGTATTCTACAGCTACTGTTTACAGCAAAAGCAATTTGCAAATTCTACACAAAGTGCCAAGTGAAAGTAGGATTATTGGAATGTGTTAAGGCCCACTAATCTTCCTATTATGGGATGGCATAGATGAAGCCATTTCAAAAGTTTAAAATTTTTAAAAGATACAGCATTTGTGGAATAAGATGAAGCTTCTTTTAGACACTATGGGGAATGCTGCCTACAGCCTGAGAATGAAAGTGTTAAATGTCTGGAATCCTTCCTCTGACTCTCACTTACTATTCACCCTGCCTATGTCTGGGCATCATTTGTACATTGGAGATTTACAGATAGTTTTTCTCATCGAACTCAGAGGGATGTTATCAAGTTTGGATGGCTTCCATGAAACAGACTGGGACAAAGGCCAAGATGTCAGTTCTAGCTGACACCAGGCTGTTTCCAAGGGCGTATGACTGCTCCCTCCTCCCATGCCCTGTGATATAACAGGGTCCACACCACTCCACAGGCTGTCCAGGACATAAGTCTGTGTGATGCTAAGGTTTTCTCAGTCTAGAGTGCCATGATTCTCAAAACACATCAATGCCTTTTATTCACAGACACCTAGGAACCAAACAATTCCCAGATTCCCTGACCTTGGGAAAGTCTTGGGCTTTGCTGTCTGTGCACCAAGGATGAACCCTAGGAGCTTGTACCGAAGCGACTTGTCAAAGGCCAGTCAGAAGTGCACTCATGGCAAATAAAATATAGAAGGATTATAGGACTCTTTGTCTAGTGCTCTATTCATTAAGACTGCCTTCTCTTTCCATTCCTAATGTATCAATACCATCTTGAAGACACACTCCATTGTGACCTATTTTGACTGAGTCAAATGCTGCCTTGCTGGTGGTCACTAGGGGAAAAAAATACCATTATTCCGGGCACTTCTTTTGACTTCTTCACTTGAAGACTTCTAAGCACTCAGAAACAACCCAACAAGGGTAGAAGTTAAATAAATCTGCAAAAGAACCAAATAGTGCAAAGTTAGCCAATTAGCCCAAATCAGCAATCAGGACAAGATGAAACCTAATTAAATTCAACAGTCTACAAAAGGATGTGTTCAAACAATTTCCCTTCATTATGAATTCTCTAATATAGACACTTTCAATTTAACACAGGATACCACAGAGGGGCACTTCTTTTCTGGGATCTTCAAAGTTACTCGAAGCTTCTTAAATGCTTATTTTGAAAGAAACTGGGGGAAATGAATGACAGCCTGAGTTTCAAGAACTGGAAGTGATATTTCCAAGCTCACTGTAGAATGTATATCTGCGGGATAACAAGACTGCTCAAAATCAGTCTGACGTTTTGGTTTTCTGTTTTGTTTTGCTTTTCTTAATTAACAAGTCGGATTGTTCGAGGCCAAACCCAAGACAGCCTCTCTCTGCACAACATCACCTTCTGTAGAGACCGCTATGCAGAATGGCAGACAGTGGCCCAATGCCCCGTGCCTCAATTTTCTGGCAAGGAACCCTCGGTAAGAATGAATCCAGGAGCCTTTAAAAATAAATGTCCCCGCAGTTAAAATATAGAGCTTTTATAGGCTTGAAAAAAAGAAAGCCCATTTCACCAATAGACAAAGCCAACTCTTTATTAAGTGTGCTAATGGAGAAATCAAGTTACAGATAATTTTTAAAGAGGTTTACTGCCAAAAGCACTATGTTCAGCTTTGAAATGTATTCTTCTACTTACCTTTAAATACTAGTGTCTGATATTGTGGGAATTCATAACAGCACACTGATGTCCCTGGAGGGGTCAGCCTTGGGCCTCACCACCCTTCTCTGTGCTCCCGCATCCTTGGCCACCTGTCCTCTGCATAACTGCCCCTGCTCCCAGTCCGAGAATTACCAGCACCCCTGCTCAAACCTAGGTCCGTGAACAGCCAAATGAGGCTCAGGCCTTCTTTATAAGCTTGCCTTCTTCCTTTCGACAACTTTGGGGATCCAAAACTTAGGGTGTCAAATGCATTTACTTCTTGCTCTAATTAAGTTGCTGTAACTGAAATAATGATGACGTTAGCCAAGAAGATAATTAATTTGTGTAGATGACAATGTCCACAGATCTGAAAAGTCAGATTTCCTGGGTGGGTGATAACCGTTACCGTTGGTAGCATAGGTAAAGAGAAATAATATCCTATCTGGCCTCCTCTGGTATCTTAGAACAGTGCAAATCTTTGGGACAACCAAGTGATGCTTGAAAGAAAATAAATGCAACTGGCAGATAAAAAGTAGGAGGAAATAAGTGTCCAAAAATACGTAACTTAAAACATGGAATAACAGGCTATAATATATATAATTGATGAAGATTTGGGAAATTAAGTCATCAACATATGAAGAGTATAAGTGATTGCATTGTTTAAAAAAAAAAAAACCTCAAATATATTAAATTAAGCACTGGATTTTAAGGGTGAAAGTACTAGGAGGAAGGTTTAAAACCAAGAGAACCGGAATAGATGTGCCCATTAGACTGTGGTTCTTTTAATGGCCGGTATAGATTGTCTCTGTCTTAAACTCAACTCTCAGTAGCCACTATCCAACCTGCATATTAATGAGGAACATGAATACCTCTCTAAAATTTTCAGCTACAGCGTCTCCATAAAAAAATCAATACTCCCCCACACCTCATGAATACAGACCAGGACCTGCTCCCAGCAGCATTTGCTGGCATTAATTATCATTAAGAGGGGGCCTTACTTGTCTCCCTCTAACTCTCCCCTGCTCCACTTCCTTACACACCCAAACTCAGGGTGTCACTCTCTCCCATTGTTTGTAATGGATCCTGAGTCAAAGCGTGTGTGGGCTATGCAATTACCGCTTGGCTGAACCGTACGATATTCTCTCTGATGTCTTATAGAAACTGAATCCGAAAGGCATCCCAAGGACAAGGAAGGGTTCCTGCGCTTCACTGCACCACACCTACTCGGTCTCTGCAAAGCTCCATTTCTCCTTCCTTGCCTCTCTTAACTCAGGGCGTTTTCACGGTGCTCTGATCAATAGAATATGTATCATTTCTCCTTCAGTGGTGCACTGTTCCCAATGTTAGGACAGAGAATGCTTTGTACCTCACCTCGTATAAACGGAACTGGTTAAAGAAACCAACTATACCCATCAGTCCCCCCTCCCCTGCTTGTCTCAGTCTCCCTTTCCAGCCCAAATGCACTGATGCATACAGGACTCCAGATTCCTGGTTTGCTTTTGATGCAATCCAGTCTCAAAAAAATCCAGCCTGGTCGTCCTAGGCCAAAGAAGCACTTTATGTCATTTAACTACAGCATCAACTAATGGTAACCACAAGGTTGACACTTTGTAATTACTAGGGAAGGCTGTGAGTGGTAAAGGAGAAAGCCCTGACCGAGGTAGAGTCAATTCAGCGAACTTTCACTGAGTGCCTAAGTGCATTGCTTGGCAATGCAGTAGACAGGATTCAGAGACGTGGGACCTGCCCCAGGAGATCTGATTGCCTAGAAAAAGAGGCTATTCATAAACACACACATAAAATAAAATCAAAGCCAGCATGTTCTTATTTTCTGGTAGGAATGAAAAACCAGGAGTGAAAGCGAAGGAAACAAGTTTCATTATTGCTGCTTTTGAATCAACATTGTTTTATTTCTATCATAAAATACTCACTGTAGCGTGACTTTTTGAGTATTTTTTGGAGAAGAAGAAAATAAATCCAAGAAGCCACGAAATATTTTAGCATTAAGGAAATTTAGATACTAAATAGTTCTTCCCCATTATTTAATGGCTGAGGAAATTGAGGTCCAAGCAGTTTCAGTGTCTTACCTATGGTCACAAAAGGCATTCCCAGTAAAGCCACATCAAAGAACCAGAGCCCTTAACTCTGTGGCCGTGAACTTTCTCCTCCACATCCCACAACATTCACTGTAAATCTCCAGCTTCCATAACCCCCATTTTGTCAGCACTCTGCTGCCAGCTACAAGTACATAGCCCCAACGTTCTATTTATCTCTGTGAATAAAGCCGTAGCGTTTAACAGCTTGGAGGGAACTTAAATAATAATTTTCTCCAGCTAGTTCCTATTTTACAAAACAGGAAATTGTGAAGATAATAAATCCCAAGGTGTGCCTAGTGGCACAGAATGAGGGGTGGTGGCCCCAAGGACAGAATCAGGTCTTCAGACACCCAGCCCGGCATCTACCTTGGCACACATCCCTCTTGCTCTGAATTAAGGCCTCCTTGTCTTGATTCACTCTTGTCTGTCCAGGGTATCACTGCAAGGACAGTTCCCTAATATTCATCCCTGGCCATCTATCCCTCAGGCCCTGACTTCCAGGGGCTCCAGGCACAACACAGGTAACCACACTGGCTACCTCCTCCTAGAGCAAGGGATATACTCAGGTTGAGATGGAGTCAGGGATTAATAGCTTACATTCTCCTACCTGAACCATGGAAAGAAAAATAATCCATTACATTTTATCACCGTGGAAAATATCAGAGACCATGTCTGATTTGACATCACCAAAATGAAGTGTGTGATGCCCCCAAACTCTCTAAAATGGGTGGGGAAGATTATTTGTAAAAAATATATGAAGACTATGAATGTCTTTGCAAATATCTCTTTTAGCCCACATAGAAAGAGCTGCCAGTTCTTGCTCTCATTTCTGTAAACATCCAAAGCAGTTCTCACAAAGCTTTCTGGTTCTTTCAAGCTTAAGAGACCTAAGGATTCCTTTGCTTGGCCCAACCCCGAGCTTCCCAGGGACGCTTCCTAGTTTCCCCTTACGCTGATCATCTTCACCACGTCATCCACAGCATAGGGGGACAAAAGGTTTATTCTCTTTGCTGTTCTGAACACATTGCTGGGCCTCACTGAGGCAGAAAAAATAAGTGGGTCAAATTACCTTGTGTTGTCCCCGTCGATCTAGCTTTTATAAGGCCAAGAGCCCCCCAGGAAAAAAAAAAAAAAAGCAGAGGTGATTGATGTAGTTGAGAAGAGGGACCACGCAAAGAGACCCAGAAATCAACAAAAAGAAATAGACAAAACGAGAAAGTGGTGACTCAAAGGAAGTAAAAATAATGCTAAAATGCTTGTGACCCACCAACAGAAGAGACGGAGCCAGCTGACTGGTCAGGGAGCACTGAATAACAGATCAGTCGGTGAGGGGTGGTGAATGTCTGAGTTCCGAAGACGAGGCATCTTTCCTGCCTCCCTAGATACTATTCAAGGAGAAAGGGGGTGGATTTAGAAAACCTAGGAGGAAGTGTAGGGACACATGAAAAGGCTTGAGTTCTAGCCCTGGCTCTCTCTGGTCCACTTTGGACTCTCCAGGCAACTCAGAATATCAGGATTTTCCTTCTTTTAATTCTAGAAGAATTAGAGGGTATTGAATGTTCCCAATACAAAGAAATAATCAGTGTTCGAGATGATGAATAGAGTAATATACCCTGACCTTATCATGATACATTATGTGTATCAAAACATCACTATGTACCTCGTGAATATATACAATTATTATTTGTCTATTTAAAACAATAAAAATTATAAAAAGAAAAAGACCGTTTAATATCCTAAAATTCAATGAGTTCATGAGTTTCTAATATTTTGGAAAACAAGCCTCAGTATCAATTTCAGGGCTGGACAGAAAGGACCACGATAATATGGTAATGCACATGGGAGGTAGCCTGGGATCCTGGAAAGGACTCAGGCTGGGTAGTCAGGCGTATCTGAGTTCACATCTCTACCAGACACCTTCTTCCCTTTGTGACCTTGGACAATTTGGTTGATCTGACTGAGTCTTAATTCCGTCTTCTGTAAAATCAAGACAATACATATGCCTCATGGGATTGTTCAGTACAAATAGAACTCTTCAAAATTTGTAACTTCCCATCCCTTCCCTTTTACTGAGGAAGACACCTTATGTTGTACAGAGCGCCTGATACAATAGCCTGCTGGTAAATTGATCATCAGTAATGCACATTATACTCACCAAAGGTTCACATAGTATCTGATTTAAAAAGGACATTTTCACCATCACAATTCTCTAGACAATTATTGAGCCTTTTGCTGTGATTAGATAAACTTAAATTTAAGGTGTCAGGAAACTAACTTTATATTTTACTCTATATAACTCTGTGTGGTGTGTGTGTGTGTGTGTGTGTATTTCTGTGTTTATTCAGGCAGACCCTCTAGTTGTGATGCATTCTTGGCCCAAAAAATTACTATTTGAGATTTTAAAATGCAGTTTCCTGTGTCCTGTGTTGGGCGAGTAATGTAGCTTTGACTTTGGCTTGAGTTTGGGAGCATTTATGACCCTATCATATGTAACATAAACATCAATCTGCTTTTTTATTTCTTTGCAAATTCAATTATTTCTAATTACATAAAGGCATCATTGATCAAGTAAGCATAAAAACCAATATAGAAGAATTTAATCTCTTAAATAAGCTTGTAGACTTCAAGAAATAATTGAATGTTATAGTATATAATGCAAGGAGACATCTTGATTGTTGATAACTGGCCCAAAGTTAAAGGAAAAATGTCTAAACCCCATCATGTTTTATATTGATTTGGTTCAAATTGAAAATATTTGGATTCTATTTTCATTCCTTTTTCTCTCTCTCTGCTACTCTCTGCAGGCTTGGAAATGGATTTTAGGCCCTGTAGTCTTGTATGCATGTGAAAGAATAATTAGGTTCTGGCGATTTCAACAAGAAGTTGTCATTACCAAGGTATGCATGTAGCTTTATGTCTGAATAAAAGCCTGAGTGTAGATGAAAATTTTTTATTAGCCCAAGTTTTTCATTTGCCATTTTTATTGCAGAACTGTCTGTAATTTAGAGGCTCATCTTCTGTTCTAATAATTGCTTGTATCCTGAGCATCTTTTAGTGTGACTAATTTTGCTGAAGACAGGGATCAGGGCTCCAGACGGTACACAGAATTCTGATAAAGGTTTATTGTACAGCACTGGAATGATCCGCTTTTTCTTTATTTTGGTCTCTCTAGGGTGAAATGCAAGGGGAGTGAGTGTGCTTTACATGGGTCATAGTGACTTGAAGGATAATCACTTCCTTCCCCAAGTAAAGACACAAATTTTGCAAACAAATAACATTTTCAAATCTATACACTCTCACTGGGGACTACCAAGCAGAGGAAGGGGAAACAGTCACCATAAGGTTCAGAGCAAGAAGGACCACTGTGGGGAAGAAAAATGGAGAGGAAGGATGAAGACAGAGTTCTACCCTCGTGAGCGGCGTGCTCCTGGTAGCATTTTTCAGGCTTACCCCCCATTCTCACATCTCTACATCCTCACAATGTTTACCTCTTGCTGGAGGAAGCTGGGAAGGGATAGACCAAGACCAAAAAAATCCATGCCTAGGAGAGTGAAAAGGTGCCAAATACTCTCCCCTAGTTTTTGAAATGTCCAAGAAGAAACTCTCCGTCAGCCAAACCTATCCCACTTTGCTAATACAATTTTAACGGAATCCTGTATCTCTGTAGCCGCCTTCATGAAAGCAGATGTATAGAAATTGCTTCCTATTTCTGCTTTAAGCTGTTTCCATGTTGCTGTTTTTAAGTTAAGCACCAAAGGATGTCAGGCTGTATCAAAAGCCAGACTGTAAAACTTCTGGAAACCTACTCGAGCTGTTACTAGGGAGACCATTTAACCGCAGTGTCAGAACAGATACCAGTAGGGAGAGGGGAAACTTAGAATCAATGATTAAAATGCTGTGAAATTCTCTTTTGAACGGAAAAATACTGTCACTGTATCTAGATGCTAGATTTTGTTCCCTTATACTTCTTGTCACAAAAGAAGACGGGAGGGCCTGGAGAGATTTTTCAGGAAACAAGATAGAAATCTAAGTAGGGAAATTAGCTCTTTCCCTCTGATAAGCAGCAAGTCATAAAACTTTTATAAACACTACTAGAAACCTTGCGTAACGCCTCCCTACATCTAAAACTCACAGTGGAGTCAGGACACGGGATAAGACTCGACTAAAAAGAAAAGAGTTTGAAGGTAGATTCAACTAAAACAAGAAAAGAGTTTGAAGTGAGTTTGAAGATCCTTTTTCACTAAGCCTGAAGAAATAAGAGGGTTAATTCACAGGACATTGAGACAAGATGCAGATCATTGGAAAAGCTAACAAAATGTTCCTAGATGTTAAAAACCCAGAGCTAATATGGTGACTATTTTAATAACCCTAAGCATAATAATATGCAAGCTTCTACTCTCTTGGGTCTGGTTGACTGTGCTGTGGAAAGCCTGGCCATTTGACACATGGACTCACATGCTAGGCACCAATTGCACCTGGGAACAGCTATTTCAAACACCGCCCTCTGTAGCGGAGGAGCATCATTCTTGCTGGAGTTGCAAACACAGATGTGAAAGTGGTGGCAAATATCGTTGGGAGCTAATAGCAGATGGGATATATAAATTACACCTGAAACAAGCTCATCTAAAACTGTGAACACCTTTGATGGAATGAAAGGTGTTTCTTTATTATTTTGAGGACAAAGGCAACCCACTCTCTTGCTCTCACGTAGGTAGTAAGCCACCCCTCCGGAGTCCTGGAACTTCACATGAAAAAGCGTGGCTTTAAAATGGCGCCAGGGCAGTACATCTTGGTGCAGTGCTCGGCCATATCCTCGCTGGAGTGGCACCCCTTCAGCCTTACCTCTGCCCCCCAGGAAGACTTCTTCAGCGTGCACATCCGGGCAGCAGGAGACTGGACGGCAGCGCTACTGGAGGCCTTTGGGGCAGAGGGACGGGCCCTCCAGGAGCCCTGGAGACTGCCAAGGTTCGTGCCCATTTCTCTCATGTATAAATCGCAATATTATAAAAAGTAAGGTATCTTAATGCATCAACATGCTACAAGATTCAGCAATATCTTTATTAGATGGTGAGTTTGAGCCCATGTTTTAAATTTGAGAATGTGTATAAAAAGTATAACTTTGTAGACTTCTCGGAGACACACATCTATTTCTGTAAAAAAAAAAAGAACAGAAAAAAAACTAATGTTCAGCCAAGAGAGGGTGATCCAGGAAGGGGCTTTCTCTCCCAGCTCCTAAAGCATCACCTGGTTACTTCTATGTAGCCTGCAATGAGTGAGACAACTCTAGGCATTTTTTTCTATCACAGTCTGAGTTTTTTTGATTATATTTGTAAAGTCGGGTCTTCATAACAAGGATGCTATGTTTCTGTATCCTCTTCTTACAAAGACCCTAGTCATATTGGATATAAGGGCCCATACCACTCCTGCATGGCCTCATCTTAGCTTTATTCATTATGTCTGCAACCCTATTTCTAAATAAGGCCACGTTCTAAGTACTGAGGTTAGGACTTTAACATGTCAATGGGGGACACAACTCAACCCACACCATCAGTCTATTCAGAAAAACCTGGGTTCACACCTGTTATCCCAGCACTTTGGGAGGCCGAGGCGGGCAGATCACTTGAGGTCAGGAGTTTGAGACCAGCCTGACCAACCTGACGAAACCCCATCTCTACTAAAAATACAAAAATTAGCCAGGTGTGGTGTCACGTGCCTGTAATCCCAGCTATTTGGGTGGCTGAGGCAGGAGAATTGCTTGAACCTGGGAGGCAGAGGTTGCAGTGAGCCGAGATCACGCCACTGCACTCCAGCCTGGGCGATAGAGTGAGACCTTGTCTCAAAAAAAGAAGGAGAAGGAGGAGAAGGAGGAGAAGGAGGAGAAGGAGGAGGAGGAGGAGAAGGAGGAGGAGGAGGAGGAGGAGGAAGAGGAGGAGGAGGAGGAGGAAAGATAAAGAAAAATCCTGGGCACATGACAGAAGTGCCAATGTAAATGACCATTCCTTGGCTCTGTTCAGTAAACAATGGCTTCAGGTCAATTCCCACTCTTCACGCAGGGTTACCCAAAAGCTTACAAAGCACACATTTGGGGCTCTGGAATAACAGGGACACCAAAAAAATGATGAGAAAATCATTTTTGGAAGAATTTCATATTTGAAAAGAAGCATCAAGAGATTCCTACTTCTGCCATCCCTGGAGGGTATCAGGAACTACCAAGAAGCAGCCACTGCCGTGAGCACTTCGGTAGGGAGCTCGGTAGAGACACTTCGAATGGAAGTTCCTGAGGGCAGGACATTGTCTTTCCTCCTCAGAATTTCCGGTGCCTACAACAGTGTCTGACGTGCAGTGCATACAGAGGAAAGATTTGACAAAAGAATCAATGAAACCCTGGAGCCAATATGGATTCGTTATCTCATTTAATTTGACAAATATTTATTGGTGACAAACAAGGTACCATAATAAATTTGAGACACAAAATGTAATCAGCTTATCGTCCTGCTTTCCCTCTTTTCATAGGCTACTGAGCTGTAGCTGCACCGCTGGGCTTGGTTGTATTTAGTGGGTAGGAAGAGTCACAGGCTTCCTTTCAAACCCCGGTCCTCAAGGATGGTATGATGCCAACCCAAGTAGAAACATCATCTGCTCAAGCCAGAGCCCCAGATCAGATGACAACACCTGATTATTTTCTTTTTTATAGTGGAAATGAAGCAATGTAATAAAATTTTAAGGTTCAGAGTGCAGTGCAAATGCCTAAAATCAGACATAAAAGTAGAAGCACTGCACAGCACCCCACCCTCACCAACCCCCCCAGCACACACACACACACACACACACACACACACATATGCAGGGCACAGTATCTAACTGCTTTCTCGGTCCCTGCTCTCCCCTTGGCAACACCAAGGCAAAAGGCTTCATCCTTTTTGCTATCTGGCTTCTGCCTTGTGTGTAGACACTTATCCGCTCTATCAACTACCCTTCCCCTTCACAAACTGGATAGCATTTCAGCCAGTCCCCCAAGAAGAACTCAGTACACGTTACTCAGTAGCTGATATGCTTTCTGCCTATGGAGTGCATCGCCAGCTGCAAGGCCCAACAGGATCCCCAGGGCCTCCTTGGGCTCATCTGTTCCACCTCCTGCTCCCTCCTGGGCTTAGCTCTTCCAGCTTTCTTGTTGTTCACACACACTAAAAATGTAGTCCTCAGTGCCTTTGCCATTGCTGTTCCCTCCACCTGGAATGCTGTTCCCCACATCTCTGCTAGGCAGCTTCCTCTCTTCCTTCAGGTCTCTGTTCAAATGTCTCCTTCTAGTGAGGCCTTTCCTTCCCACTCCACATGAAACAACCCCCAGCGGTCACTCAATCGCCATGATGCCACATGCTGACTTTATTTTTCTTTATAGTACATACCACCCCCTGACATGCTAAATATTTGCTTGATTGTTTGTTTACTGTCTATCTCTCCACACTAGAATGGAAGCTCTATGAGAAAAGGGGCTTTGTTTGGTTCACTTTACCATTCCCAGGGCCTAGAACAGGCCCTGACCCTCAGTCACTCAGTAAGTAATTATGGGCTCGATAAAAATGAGTTGTCATAAACAGAGCTGCTTCCCTCCATTCACTAATTTGTTTCACCCTCTGCCTCTGTATGTGTATAGGCATATGTATGAGTGGCAAAGCCTTCCAAAAAACTAGAATTTGTTTAAATCTTCAACATACAAAGAATCAGGATGTTATTGGACTTCCTTGGATGATTTTACAGTTCCCCACTGTTTCAATTTTGAATTAAATTTACCATATTGGGGAGAGCACTAGATCTTTTTACTGCTTTGGATCCCACACAAATTTAATCCAGCCCCTGGAATTCATAAGTGAGAAACCCAGGAGGAGAAGCAAGCCCAGAAAAAGAACAAGGAAACCTCTTCCTCTAAGCCCAAGAAAAAGGGAGAGAATGTGAGCTCTTTCAAAAGACTAGACCTTCTGAAGGAAAACAGAGGAATTTCTCAGAGTTGATAGCATTTTCAGCAAGTTATCCTGTGCCCAGAGCTGGGGGCTGCAGTGTGAGAGGAGCTGGGTTCAAAGCCCAACTTCGTGTGTGATGTTGGAGAATGTATGCAACACACTGCCTCAGTTTCCTCATCTGTATAATGAAGATGACAATAATGGTACTCATGGCTTTGTTTAGGATCAAACATAACAGTCCATAAAAACACGTAACATAATACTTCGCACACGGTAAGTGCTCAAAGAGTTCTACTATTATTATTACCAAGATAAGAATGGTCACCTACCACAGAGATAGCAATGGAAGTGTTTATTAGAGGAGTAAATGCAGTCAGTTCAGAGAGATGAGATTGGAACTTAATGGGGTAGGGTGGGGTGCTGTTGAACTATCTAACAAGGACTCACAGGACATGGATGCAGGCAAGACGAATCATTTTCTGAGCAGCATTGTTAGGAACGCTGTGTCTGACTCAAGGCGGGGATAGCTGCATAAACTTGATAAACAAAAATGTGTGCAAAGGAAGCTGATTCAGATTGTTAAAAATCTGGAGAAATGGAGAAATTTGGGCCCAAAGAAGAACAACTGGGGTGTCGTGATAGCTATGATCAACTATTTAAAGGCCTGAGATGCAAAAAAGGAAAAAGATCTGGAATGTGCTTCTCAGAAAGGCAAAAGATGAGAGTTGTCAGAAGACAGATTTCAGTAAGACACGAGAAAAAATTGTCTAATACTTAGAATTGCCCCTAAGTGGAACAAGGTGCCCTGCAGTTTAACATCGGAATATGATCATCTCTCAGGGATGTGGCAGGAGGATTACTGTATTAGCAGGGAACGGAGACTAAATACTTTCTCCTGTAGCTTTGAGTTTCAATTCTAAAGATGTAGAAATTTGTTTATTGTATATTTCTGTGGATCAATTACAAAATTCTTCTTTGGATTTAATTGATATCTTTTTAAATCAGTGTCAAATAAATCCCCAATACGACTGATTCTTTTAAAAAAATGAACAATAAGACATTTTAATCTATGTACAGGGTTTTTTTCTCTCTTTCTCTCAATTTCCTTTATCTATTTATTTATGGAATAATCTACAGTGGGCTAAGATACCATTTCTGGTTAATGACCTTTTATTTTTATTCTTCCATTTCCATATATCAATATGTAATAAAGCCTTATTAATTAAGATTAACTTGAGGAGAGTTCATTTGAATTATTAGGAAGTCTGGCATATAGAACAGTTTAAAATAAACCCAATTGAACTTTCATGAACACATAGTAAAGCCCAAATGGGCCAACCTCCGGTGTCTTCAACAGACACCCCTTGGGGAATGGTTATGAATAACTCAGAAACCTTTTAATTAGCATATCTTTGTTCGTATGTAAATGTGTGCTTTTGGAATAGTTGGGGTTATTGAATACATTCTGCTGACTGAAATATTTTAAACATTCCCTTTACAATGTATTCAATCAATTGTTATTGAACAACTTCACGTCAGAGAGCGCTGGCATTGCAGCAGTGAGCAAAGACAGCCCTGACTCCTACTTTCCTAGACCTCACAGCTCTAGACAGACATCAATCAGATCATGCACACACACCAATACATTGTAAAATTACAGCTGTGATGAGGACTATAGAGGAGGGGAACATGTAGCTATAAATTATATAAGAGGGGATTTAACCTCATCTGAGGGGTTCAAGAAGGCTTCCACAGGAAAAGAATGATTTGGATAAGACCTACCAGAGGAATAACTATTAACTAACTAAGGAGAGAGGGAAGAAACTGGAGAAGATGCCAGGTGCAGAGGCTCACGCCTATAATCCCAGCACATTGGGAGGCGGAGGAGGGCGGATCACGAGGTCAAGAGATCGAGACCATCCTGGCCAATATGGTCAAACTCCATCTCTACTAAAAATACAAAAAAATTAGCCGGGCGTGGTGGCACGTGCCTGTAGTCGCAGCTACTTGGGAGGCTGAGGCAGGAGAATCACTTGAACCCAGGAGGCGAAGGCTGCAGTGAGCCGAGATCGCATCGCTGCACTCCAGCCTGGAGATAGAGCAAGACTCCATCTCAAAAAAAAAAAAAAAAAAGGAAAGAAACTGGGGAAGATTATTCCAAGGGAAAAGGGTATCGTATGCAAAGGCCCCGTGGCAGTAGGGAGTATTGTGTATTTAATATTTTAGGAATATTAAGATCTCACCTGAGTGAAAACCAGTGATGAGAGACGGAGAAGAACTCGGGGCCAGTCTACACAGGACCACGCTAAGGACCCTCTTATTTATTCCGTGAATATACTTTATCCTGATTAAGAAAAATTTGCTAAGCAAAGAAAAATACCAGTGCTACCCAAGGCCTAATTACCACAGATTTTGAGTCAGTATAATCTAAAATAACGGGTTTTAGAAGTTCCACAGAACTGACAAATGACTTCAAAATTCTGTTTATGCCAAAGGAATGGCTTCCATTAGACTAAAATTACACAAACCTACTAAGATGTGTGACCAAAAGTAAACAGGGGAGAATGACACTAGGAAGAGGAAAGAGAAGCCTGCTAAGCTATCTTGATGCTTCCAGATTTTTCCCCCTGATGGCAACTGGGGTGGAAAGGGAGATGGCTCTTCCAGCAGCCTCAATGATACTTGGAGCCAAAACAAGCTTCTAAGAACTGTAAGGAGAGCATGCCACATGGAAGAGGCCCGAGCTATAGCGAGAGATGTCAGGCTTTGTCCTTCTATGAACAGTGCCCGGGCCAGGACAACCTGGTTGTCTCCCAATAAGGCAGAGCTGGAAATCCTCATGCTAACCCCAGGCTCTCCAGATAGGGCATTTTCCGGCACAGAGTCAACCTCTGCGTGCACTGGCAAACACGTCCTATAAAAAGCACCAGCTCCAGATGGTTTTGGGTTCACAAGCAAGGTGTTCTGAAGGTCAAATAGGCTGCGTTCCTCTGTGATTCCAGGCTGGCAGTGGACGGGCCCTTTGGAGCTGCCCTGACAGATGTATTTCACTACCCAGTGAGTGTGTGCATTGCCGCGGGGATCGGAGTCACTCCCTTCGCTGCTCTTCTGAAATCTATATGGTACAAATACAGTGAGGCGCAGACCCAGCTGAAGCTGAGCAAGGTATGGAAAAATCATTAGTTCACCCTTCCATGGATTAAAAGGTTCAATGTCCTTATATCTATCATCTGCCAATTCTTGGGGAGGATTTTAATTAACTATGAGGGATAAACTCAAGGATCCTTAACTATACTTATGTTCTTAAAAATCTCCACTCAGTATTACATTTATGAGTAGGGTTATGTCTAATCTTGTTAAAGATGACAAGACATAAATTTTATTGCTTCATTGCCATTACAGGACATGTAATTGCTCATCTCAATAAAATATGGACAGGCTGCAAATGGCTATGTGACTGGGTGACAGTTTGCAATATTAACAGGCAACCTCTCCTTAGTCTCTTTAGCTTCAGACTGTGGTTGCAAGTGTACAATTTGATGTCTTCCTCTCGTGGACCCAGTCCTAACAAGAAGCCACAACTGGGATTTATTGGTCACCTTGCTGTGGGGTGGTCATCCTGCTCTGAATCTCCCTTTTGTCATTTCTTGTATGTTTTACAACTAGATGCCTCTAGAATTTCTTTCCCTCCTTTGTCATATCTAGACACTCCATCCGATACTTTGACCCTCTTAGGACCAGCAGCAGGCACTAGAGGAATGGTAGGCAAGGAGCCCTAATAACCCAAAGCTGTGTGAATGCAGGAGGAGTGAGGATGGCAGGTGAGCTTGGTGCTGGGTCCAGTCCGGCGTATCTTCTGTGCTTAACCCTTTGTACACAGTGTCCTCAGCTATCAAAGGGAGATGCTTGACTTAACCACCAGGTCTCAGTGTGTAAAACATGGGACATCTGTCACCTGACATGATCCACTAAAGAGAATTCTATAGTCAAAGGAACTTAAGCAATGCTCCTGCAACATCACACGCTGGAAGACATCATCTACTAGTCATTAAATACGTTCTGCGGGGTTGGGGCACGGTGACTCACACCTGTAATCCCAGCACTTTGGATCACTTGAGGCCAGGAGTTTGAGACTAGATCAGCCTGGGCTGCATAGTGAGACATCATCTCTACAAAAAAATTAAATATTAGGGAGTTCAAGGCAGTGAGCCATGATCACACCACTGCACTCCAGCCTGGGCAACAGAGCGAGACTCTGTGTCTAAAAAACAGTTCTGCAGAAAAGAGCCTCATTCAGCTTTGTTTCATCTATCTTTCCCAAGGTTATTTAGCCACAGACCCTTTCCTCACCTAACACCTGTCAAGAAATCGTGTTCTGTGAAGCATCCCAGGCAATGCAGGCCAGAAGATCTCTAAATTCGGGTCTCTGCCAACTAAGAAACAGGAGTTAACTATTTCCCGAGTTTCCAAGTGACAGGTTCTTGACATACATTTTCTCATCTGAATTTTTTAATCTCCCCAATAACCTTATAAAGTAAATAACACAAAGCCTGTTTTCCAGATAAGGAACCTGAAGCTTGGAGAGATTAAATTGATTTTCCTGAAAAGACATGGGTAATCAAAGGCAGAATCGGGATTCAAACTCAGGTTCATCTGGCTCTTTCCATGACAAAACCAACACATGGTAGATGTGACCCCAGCTCCTCCTGCAACCCTAGTTCAATATTGTAGGAAGACCATGGGATTCCTGCTCATAGAATCGGCACCTGAATTTTGCTGTTATCAAAGAACATGCTTGATTCCACCCTGACTGAAGTACTGCCTGCAGTTCACCTCTCTGAGCTGGGTTTCCTGATCCACATAGTGGAGAAATAAGAATCCATATCCAACAGAGAGTTTTAATGCTAAATAAGACAAATAATATGGAAACATTAATATAGAAATGTGTGTACAGAAATATAAATGATTATCTAAATGCTGATTGTATCTACCAAAGATACAAATAGGTTACCAGTACTACTACTACTAATGGCCTAGATTTATCAAGCACTGACTACCTAACAGGAAGGAAACTGGGCATTTTACATGCACTATCTCATGCCATCTTTTCATCATACTTATCATTTTCATTCCCATTTTACAGATGAGAAAACTGAAGCTAGATCACAAAGCTAACAGAAATGATAGAATCATCTTACTGAATGCTCATAATAGCTCATTCAGATAGGTAATATTCTCAATACTGACGAGGGCCCTGGCACACAGAGAGCTAAATAATACTAGAACTAGAGTCTGAATCTAGATCCTTCTGGCACCAAAGCTCATCTTCTTTCCTCTACACCGTCATATATTTAACAAAGCAAGTGACTGGGATATTTGGACCTCACAGCAATGCTTTGTTTTGGTTCGTGATGATTTCTCAGCCACCCTAAGTTCTTCCTTCCCTCTTGCTGCCTACCAAGTAAAACCCGCTTAGAGAGGTGGCTCGCTACTTCATGGTTTCCATGACACTAAAAGTCACTTTGCGCTTCACAGGAAGATGGTGGTGGATAGCGTGTCTCACTTTCATTCACTCACTAATCCAGCTAATATTTCAAGTCCTGCTCAGAGGCATGCAAAGTCTCACTCTCATCATACCCGACTCACAATCACCTCCCCCTTCTCTTAACCTCCACCACTCCTTTGCTGCCCTCCTGTTATGTCACATATCTTTCCTGCATTAAGATTTGCAAAATAATCTTATTTTCTCTAACAGACTGTGAGTTCCTTGAACATAGCTTCTCTGGATATCTTTATACACACACACATACACACACACACACACACACATATATTATGTGATAACTATATATATAGTTAAAATATTGAATAAATCAATGAGTGAATAAATGTCTCCATGTCCAAAAAGAATAAACAATGGCTTCTGTATACAATTTTCTTTAAAATTTAACGGTATTAAGATTTTGTTTATGTAACCAAAAAGATTATTCAATGATTTTTACTAAATTCCAATTATTTTACTAGGAACATAGAGGAAAAATCTTATAAGAACCCCCCAAAATCTTAAAATTCATACAGGAGCCTACAAAGTCTTAATACCACCTCCTTTCTCAGCATTCCATTGTCATTCCTGGGCTCTGCTTGTGGAATTTCTCAAGGCTTTCAGCACTGCAGTCACCACAAAACCATAAAATAGGGACATTGATTTCTATTCCAAGAAACAGAAACCGTAGAGTCAAAAATATAAAAGCAATGTTTTCATCGCTTATAAAAATGTGAGGGACTATTTGGACACGACTCAGCTGAAAATAAGGGCAGAAATAATGTCATGTGGGAGAGGGGAAGCTGAAGTGTGGGATCACAAACTAACTTAAAGGCCCTAATCTCCTAGCTTTGCATAGGACCATGAAAGTCAGTATCTGTACTTCGAGAGGAGACGATTGGTCCAAAGTCACCCAGCTGGTTCACCACTGAGTCAGGACCTGAGCGCGTGTTTCTGATTTTCGCTTCAAAGCTCTTTCATGGAAGAAGTGAGGTTTTCATGCTATTGAAACTTGAGGCTGAAAATTACACTTCAGATCCAATTCCTTCACGTCTGCAGGCATGAGAACAGGCTTAGGAAGTTTCTCTCTTTTAAAGCAACTTTGTGTTGGTTTGAGTACAGCTATCGTTAGGCTTATGTAACTATTATTTGTCAGGGCTACCCACATGCTTTTGAGATATAACGACTACCCCTTCCACTAAACTGTCAGCATCTATATAATTTTTGAAGTGCAGCGCAGAGCAAAGCAGTACGTATTTATCTAACGGTGTCTTCACAATTTTAAGTCTGGACTATAGTTTTCAGATTGTTCTCTTTTGTAATAAGGAAGGAAAGGAAAACTCACATAGGCATTGAGAGCTGGAATTTTAAGCTTAAATGGTTAACTGCAATTAGGTGTGATTTTTTTCCTCCATGTGTAAAAACACTGGTTGGCATAAGGTATAGATTTTTACACACAAAACTCAAGTTGCAAGTCTACAGTAAAAAATGGGCACCAAAGTTTTCTCAATTGTCACCATGGCAAACAAGAACTTCTTTACTCTTCTCCTCTGCTACATTATTCTAGAAAACTTCTAAGTAAAACGCAGGAGCATAACCAATAAGACGCCTGCCACTTCCTTAGTGGGAAGCGTCATAGGTAGTACTTTCCATTTGAAGCTGATGTCTTAAAATCTCCATGTTTGTAAGTACTTTTATTTTGAAAGATCTGGGAGGGGGCGGGGAGTGGAAGGGGAGGGGGAAGAATGGGCAGGAGGGGATTTCCCAAGAAGGCAAAATAACAAGAAGTATAATGATGGCTTGCTGTGATGAAAATGGAAAAAAGTTGTAATACATGAAAGAAATATTTTCAACAGAGAAGTAAGAGCCAAACTTCACTGAGTTGAAGGCAGCTGAGAATGCTGTGCCCTTGTGGGGTGAGGGAAGGCTGAGGGTGGTTGAGAATTCTCTGTGATGCAATATGGAGGAAGCTGAATGCTGGGGGCGAAAAATGCCCTCTAGCGATAAAGTCCTCCACCTCCTGCCTAACGGGTATGATTAATTCTACATCACACTCAATTTGTGAAAAGAGCTCTTGAAAAAAAATTAGGATGGTTTGCTTGTGCAAACTGTCAAAATGATGAATGAAATAGGTGTGTATGAATGGGGAGGGAGGGAGAGGATTGCTGACATAAATAGATTGGCTTACACATTTTAGTTCTCCCTAATATCACAGCTGTGCAGTCAGAACTGAGAGAACTGCCAACTGCAAGATGTGGTGCGTTTTCTTAACTGCATATGTAATCTTCAGACTACAATACAATAGATTATACAAAAACTGAGATAATCTCGTTTCTTCATAAATTGTCTTCCTTCATCAGCTCCATAATATATAACCATGATAATGGGTATTTATAGTATGTCCCATGCAAAATGGCCTTTGGGTTCTTAACCTAATATAATAAAGAGATAATTCAAATGAAAAGACAGCACGGGCCAGTGGGAACAAGGGAAAGAGGCCAAAAAAGACAAAAAATCTATACTGTACTAAAATATATTAATAAAACAGAGGAGGGCCTGCTCTCTTTTCTAGTGAATGAAAAATGCATTTAATTTAATCTGTTTACTTTGAGAAATTATTTAC